AACAGAGGTTCTGACAAAAAACTTAACGGATATACGAAAGTATCCTAGAATTATAACTTTAGATACTAGACTGGAATGAAAAAAAAAACTTAATATATGAAATGTTGAAAACTAATAAACTTTAGGGAAATAAACTGATATTAACCCAATTTTTTTTATAACGCATTAGAACATTGACTACCCAATCAATGGCAAAATTTGCCCTTTTGATGGGCTGTATGAGATTAGGCCTTAGGGAACAATTGGATTGGCGACAATTGATTAGGCTTTGTAAGACAGGATTTGTAACATTAACTCATATATAAAAATAGATAATGTAACCTACTTTATTATGCATTTATAACATTGCGTCCAACTTATATTTTAACATAATAAATAATGAACTGAACTCAAGTCCTTTTTAACTATTTCCAACCTATTCTGACTATTCCACCAAACAGGCGGCTTGAATTGCTACAAAAAGCGATTGATAATTGTATTAAAATTTTGGAGCATTCAATATGACGAGGCATTTATTGTAGCCACACCCTACTCTAAGACATAGAATGAGTATTAATTTATCAATTTTTCCAATTGAATATGCTTGCTTTTGATGAAATGTTTGCAACAATAACTAAATAGTTTAACCAATCATGATTTTAATGAACTTTCTTTTAAAGATAATCTTTGAATGAATACAAAAATGTGAGCAGCTTCCTTCATGAGATTCAATTGCAACCGTACAAAGTGGTTAGCACCATTTATTTATTAACTTAGCACTTGAGCAGTTGAGCACATCTGCTTTTGATATTAAGTATAAATTATTATAGAAAATTATAGTAATGGTTTCTTAATTTTAATTTAGTTGGAGTAATAGTCTTTTAATTAAAAATTCATCAATATTGATCTCTTAAGTCATCAAAACATGTGGCTATGTTTCATTTCGTCAACTTCATTAGAATTTCCGTTAAAATAAGTCACGTGCTACGCAAATGAGGTTGAATCAATAAGCAAATATAGAAAACCAAATGAGAAAACTTGTAGTAATGATCCCTCAATTTTAACTCAATTAGAGCAATAGTCCCTCAATTCTAACCTAATTGTAGCAGTGATCCTTTCAACATCCATTTTGACGGAATTCTGATAGAGTTGACGAAAATGACTACAGCTGCATGTTGTAATAAGTTAAATAACCAATGGTCATGAATTTTTAGTTTAAGGACTATTACTCCTATAGAGTTAAAATTGAGAGATTATGGCTACAATTTTCTCAAATTATTATTTTGTGCTACAATTTTATTTACAGTAAAGAGTAAGAGAATAATTAATTTCTATGTTATTATTTACGAGATTCTAACTTAAAATGATAGAGGTAAAATTTAGGGATTACATGAAAGAACTCCCGTAAATTAACTAGATCTCTTCCAGTATAAAAGTATGTCAAAGACCATAGAAATTAGAAACAACTAATAAGAACAAAAAAAGATTAATCTACCTTTGAATTACTACAAGTATAATAGGTTAGATATCAAACATTTAATTTGTTGAATATTTATATCCTGAAATTCTACAATAATACACAAATTAACCACTCCTAATTCGGTCTTTACCAAAAATAATTAAAAAAATAATTAGTTAACTCATAGAGTAGTCGCCAGTAGTCGGTACTCGTAGTCCATTTAACTCGGAAACTCGGCTGAGTCGTCTCAACTCAAAGCCCCTCACCGAATTAACATACAGATTCATCAGCCAACCCGCGCGCGAAGCAACGGCCGAGATTCACCCAAATACTCAAGCTGGTTCAAAGCATCCCCGTGGCAGCGTCTCTGGAGTTCCTCCACGCTCAAGAATCGCCCGGAGTTACCAGACTCGGACCGGGCCAGGACCCGAAGAACTTCTTCGAAAAACGACTCGTCGCATGGGATGGCCAAGGGGCCCTGGTTGGCGAAGCCGTACTCCTCCTCGGCCTCTACTAGAAGCTTCTGGAAGATAGGGTGGTTCAGGTACGTCGCGCGCACGATAAACCGCTTGCAGTTGCTCCCCACGCAGACCGCAACGTGTCCTGAGGGAACGTCGGACGGCGCGCGTGCTGCCGTGAGGCGCGCCTTCTTGTGCCAGCGTTGTAGCATTTGACGGATTCTGACAATGCGTCGGAGCTTGTTGCATTTGCTGATCGCCGGTGACATATTGCCGGAAAGAGTTGAAAAGAATGGGAGTTGCTTAAAAGGAGGTAATGGCAAATGGGTGTATGAGTATTTGTGGTGGGAGGGTTATATGGGACTTGGAGAAGTGAAACGGCCCTGGAGCTGGAGATAATTACGGGATTGTGGCTGTTGTTAAAGTTGTTGTCAAGGCCATGTGATGGGTAGAAAGGAAAGTTGAGATGATAACATGGGATTAGCGCACTAAAGTCTTCAGTTTATTTACCAAAAAAAAAAAAGTCTTCAGTTTATTCATAGATGTGCCACGCCTCTGAGAATCTCATTTGATTAAGGACAAGGATTGTTTGCCCTCTCTTTTTTCATGTCCTTCTATGCTCTTTTGTTTTGTGTAATTACAATTAAGTCACATAAACATTTTATATTACTATTTATTTTTGTCTTACTATTTTTTATAAAAAAAATAATATAAAATATTAACGTAACTTAACCGTGATCACACAAAACAAAAAAAAAACATGAAAAGACATGAAAAAAAGAAGGGCAGACAATCTTTATCCTAGATAAATGCTTGATTGGCTCCTGACAAAGGAAAAAATAGACATGCTTTGATTGTGGGGAAAGAGTTCCCTACACGGCTATGGCTCTACGAACTGCGGCGGTATAGACGTTTGTTATTATTATTAGATGTCGAAATTATATTTTTGTTTTGGACTCTTTACGATACCACTGTTATAATATAACGTTAAAATTCAACGTAATTATTAAAATTTACACTTTTTGAGGTTATATGGTCGTAGTAAAGTTATAGTTACTGATATAGAATGATGTTGTTATCAACTTTAATAAAGTTGGTCTTCACGTTATGGACTTCCCATAACACTGTTAATGTAGATAATTATATTTAGACTTGATTGCATTACACTACCAAACGTTGATGGTTATATCATAGACACCTTATTACATTATAGAGGTGGACTATTATTAGAGACGTCGTGAAGTAATTACACATCATCGTTAGTTACTTACCTTCATATCTTTCAACGTTTAAATTACAAGAAAGATAAAGTTACACTATAATCGTTAACATTGACGCTCTATGGTTACACAATGAAGATAAGGTTACAGTTTATAACACAAATTGATGTTGTTATTACTAGAATAAGGTTGGTGGGTAACTTGTGGACGTTCTATTACACTTTCAAGATAGGTTATGATCTTGAATGCAATTGGTTTACACTACAAACGTTCACATTTAAGAGTATGGATACCATTTTTGTTTGGTTAAAGGATACGGTATGCTAACCGGTGAAAAAAAAATCAAAACTAATGTAACTGTGTTAATCCTGATTAAAAAAAATTATGTTATTGATATAAAATATTTTATAGTGACATGCCTGATGTAAATAAGTCATCCTCGGTCGATTGGCTAAAACCAACGAAAAATGATAGGTGCATGTACTAGTAATGTGTAGTAGGGCACGAGGGGAAGAAATGAAATAAGATTGTTTTTGGCGGATTTGGAGTATGGCTTGTTCAGCGACCAACAAGCAAATATATGCAACTGGATTTTCTCTAGTTAAGTACAAGAAAAGAACAAAGAACAAAGAAGGTGTTTCCAACTACAGATGCGACTGGATTTTCTCAAGTTTGGTAATGTCTTGCAACTAACAGATGCAATGTGTTTAGGAAGGTTAAAAATAAAATTTTAGTGGGTATGGAGTCAAGTAACATGAAGGTGTATGTGAACTTTATATCAAATATATTTATGTCTGGTTTGGTGGTCAAAATTAGAGTACTTCAATTAAATTGGACTAGAGCCATGTTTTATATTTGAGAAATTTCTGTTCAATTCTATTGAAATAGATGTGAAATAGAAAATCGAACGCAACGTAAATGTATGTTGACTATATAATTTAGTAAAAATAATTCCATCATTAGATTTAAAGTATATTTTTTAGCCAAAATGGTTATTGAGATTGACATGTAACATCCCACATTGACCAACGGAGAGGGGGTGATGTGCCTTATATGTACATGCCCACCTCCATATAGCACGAGGCATTTTGGGAGCTCACTGGCTTCGGGTTCCATCGGAACTTCGAAGTTAAGCGAGTTTGGGCAAGAGCAATCACAGGATGGATGACCCACTGGGAAGTTCTGCGTAAATTCCCATAAACGAAACCGTGAGGGTGTGGTCGGGGCTCAAAGCGGACAATATCATGCTACGGCGGAGCCGGTCTAGGATGTGACAGACATAACTCCCCAATTTGGTTCTTGAGATTTGAAATCTATAAAAGTGGTCCCTGAGTTTGTCCACCATCAATCCTTTTGGTTTTTTCTTGAAAAATCTCTGTTAAATAAGGACCATAATGACAAAAATACCAAATTTAATGAATTTTAAATTCAATTCAGTAATCAATCCTCCAATTAAGTCATAGTTAAGGGACTGTTGATTCAATTTTCTCAATTTAGTAGACAATTGTTGGTATTTTTAAATCCTACCAACATTTATAAGCTTGACAATTTTGATTTGTATCCTCCTGCCCATGTTTATGTAATGCCGATTATATTCTCTGTGTCGAGGATATACAACATGTTTACAATTAATGAAGTGCATGCTAATCATTTCCAAGTGAAAACCAAAAACTGAAAATCAATTATTCAATAAATATTATTTATGTTGATAAATGTGTGTAGGATTTTATGCTGCGAAATACCATGTGCATGAGTGCATCCGATTCCAATGAACCTTATGAAATAAACCCACAAAATAATATAATACGATACCAATTAATTAATTAATAAGTTAAATTAATTATTCAAGTTAGTTTTGGGAACTTATTAGGAGGAAAAGGAGCATGACATGAGACATCGGTCTTAACTTGTGTAGTGTTAACTGATCAACAAACAGGCTCTGATCAACAAGATTATCTCCAAACAAAAATCAACACACACTTTTTTATGCATGCATGGCATCAATTAATATTTTAATGCAAAAACATCTGCTACGTACATAGAAAGTTATAAACCCTTCTTCTCTTCCTTTGAATTTGCAGTGCCTCAGCGCTACAAGTGCAAAGACAACCACTACATAGTTGAAGATCTTCTTTAGCTCCTGAAATTTGAAAGCGATGCAAGTGATCTTTAAATTTGTCCACCGTCAATCATTTTAGTCATTTCGTGAAAAATCTCTATTAAAGAAGAACCAAAATTACAAAAATACCAAATTTAATGAATTTTAAGTTCAATGATCATTCCTCCCATTGAGTTGTACTTAAGGGACCGTTGATTCAATTTTCTCAATTTAGTAGACAATTGTTGGTATTTTTTAATTCTACTAACATTTATAAGCTTGACAATTTGTTTGTTTTGTATAGTGCCCATGTTTATGTAATGATATGATCCGATTATATTTTCTGTGTCAAGGAAATACAGTTGATGAAGTGCATGCTAATCATTTCCAAGTGAAAAATTAAAAATCAATTTTGACAAAAAAAAAAAAATCAATTATTCAATACTCTTATTAATCTTGATAAATGTGCGTAGGATTTTATGCTGGGAAATAACATGTGCATGATGAAATAAATAAACCCACAAATAATATAATAAGATACCAATTAATTAATAAGTTAATTAATTATTCAAGTTAGTTTTGGCAACTTAATTATTAGGAGGAGGAGGAGCATGACATGAGACATCGGTCTTAACTTGTAGTGTTAACTGATCAACAAACAGGCTCTGATCAACAAGATTTTCTCCCAAACAAAAATCAACACTCTTCTTTATGCATGCATGGCATCAATTACATATTTTAATGCAAAAATACCTGCTCCGTACATCGAAAGTTGTAAACCCTTCTTCGCTCTCTTTGAATTTGTGGTGCCTCAGTGCTACAAGTGCAAAGACAAACACTAAATTAAAGATCATTTCTTGATTAGCCATTTCTTTTTGCATTATTATACTTGATATGATTCGATTAGAAAGCTACCTGTTTTGTGTTTGCAGTTGAATGCACCACATGGTATCAAAATTTTATGTGCAGGTACTTATTGAGTGGAGCACAAGTAGGAAGTAAGTTATACCTAATACTCATTTCACCACACATTCAATTTTAGAATATTGAAAATCAAGGTTAGACCAAGTCATCACAACAGTATAGCAGCCTTTTTTCCTCTTTTTTTTGCACTCAAATTTATATTTTATTTTTCGTAAATTAGTGTAGTTTAAATTAATAGAGCCTTGATCAAAGAACTGAAAAATCAAGCTAACGATGATTTTACCTAGTGATTTATTAAACTTTATTTTGGTGAAGGAGGTTGAGGTTCAAATTTCATAGAAGATAATTTTGTTGTGCTTTTGAATCCAATGAAATATTTATACTAAAAGGAATAAATTAATATTAAACTCGTTATCCACGATATTCAAACTTCTTATTTACAAGTAAATCAAGAATATGTACTACTAAGCCGTAGTACTTTGTGAGTTTTGAAAACAAAAGAAAAAATTGAAAAACAAAATGAAAAAAATGATTCGATACCTCTCTCCTAATAAAAAATAAATTGAAATATTATGCGACTCTAAATAAATAAATAAATGAGTGCTTGAACTTTAATCAGTAGAAACCTTGAAAATTCTTGGTGTGGTGCTTAGTGCTTAAGTCCACAAATATATATTAATTAAGCATGAAATGGAAGGATATAATTTTGTTGTGGCGCTTTTTATTTTTTCCCTAACCCCATTGAAGCTCTTGTCGACCTCTATCTTTTTATCACAGTAATATTGATTAAAATAGTACAAAATTGAAGATTTAGGAAAATATGCTCCAATTTGGGGGATATCTTTGAAAGTTCAACTACAAAAGTTAAAAATAAAAAATAAAAATTGGAATCGAAAATCGGCTAGTCAAACCTCAAGCTTTCATCTCAGCCTTAAAAAAAACATATTAAAACCTATTTTTGTCGAGAGTTACTTTAAGCAGGTACATTGGTACTGCATCGTCTCGTTTGACACAATACCATTTAAAGAAAATTTTCTTAGTGTTGTATTATTAGTATTAAACTTCACAACGATAATGTACTAGTGTCATATATGTCTTTTCCGACACAAATAAAATCTCAAGGTGTTTTATGTTGCTGTTGATAATCACCCTCTTTATAACTTAATTTGGTTCTCCAGGTGAACCCACAATAGAATTGTGCTGCTCATAATTTGGCAAAGCTGGGCCAAGAGAAATGCTTGGGACTTCACAAACTTGTTTGGGTCTGTGTGATTAGGCCATGTTCAGGGAGTATGATGGAATCTGATTAGCTCCAAAGTTCGGATTACAATGTATTAATCCTATCCTATCCTACGTTTGTTGCAACAAATAACCCCTCATAGCTCAATGGATGGTTAAACTAATCAATTAAAGCCTGTTGAATATTTTTGGTTCTGATGTCAAGGACCCATTTATTATTTATATCAAACAAAACCTTAATGCAATTATGCTCAAGTAACTCTGCACTTAAGGGTTAGAAAAATCAAAGTTTGGTCACCCTTCTATTATGGTCTTTCCTTTTCACTGGTGTTCAGAAACGTTTTAAGTTTTTCTTGAGTAAATTACATTTTATTACATTAACTTTGGGTTACATAACAAACTCATACCTCATTTTGTAAATATTGCAATGTCATACATCAACTTATGAATTCATTGCAATGTCATTCATTAAATTTTTTGTCAATTTGGCTATTGAATGATAACATGGAAGGTGCGAGGCCCAGTCTCTCGCCCAAATTTTAAAAATAAAAAAGAGTAAATTATATTTCACTATCTCAACTTTGGATCACATAACAAACTCATACCTTTTGAACGTTGCAATATCATACATCAATTTACGAATTCGTTGTAATGTCATACCTCGTTTCCTTGTTTATCAATTTGTCTGTTAACTATTGGCATTAGGGGTGGGCACGGGCCGGGCTGGGCCCAAATTTGGAGGGACCGGACCGAACTCGCTTAAAAAGAAAATAGGACGGGCCGGACCGAGCATTGCAAATCTGATAACTGGAACTGGACCTAACCCGGCCCATTTGAAATGGGCCGGTTCGGGCCGGGTACACGGGTCCTCTGTTTTTTTTCCCCACTCAAACCCTTTGTTACCAGCGCCGCAGTCTAATTCCCTTACTTGTTGACTTTTGAGTAAGATGACGACGACGGCGGCGACGATGATGATGGATGATCGGACCGCAATGATGGGGACGATGTTAAGTTTTGAACCGGCAGCGACACCACCCAACACCTGCTCGCCATTCAATCCACCATTATAGAAACCCCCTAAATTAGAACCCTAGGCCCTAAAACAACACAACAGATGACATGCCCCAACCTCGAAATCACAACACATCAAGAATAACCCAGAAAATCTTAGATAGAAAAGAGGTAGCCTCACTTGAATTCTAAGTAAAGCTTAAAGCTCTTGGACTCCATGGAAGAACACTTCACAGTGCTTCAATGGTGCATGCAAAACCACCATATAATTCCTTGTGTCCCATAAGTCTCAAAAGTAGAAGTTTGGGGGTTTGATTTGGACAAAAATGGCATGGGTGATGGTGGTCTCCTTCTCGAAGCTTAGAGAGAGAGTTCGAATGTTACAGAGAGAAAGTGAGGCTGCTTGCAGACATGAGGGAAAAAGGGTGTGGGTCACTAGTAAAGGAAAGTTGCAGACAAGATGGAAAAAGGGTGTGGGTCACGGGTGAGGGAGAGTAACTTGACTTTGGGCCTAGTGAACAAACTACTAATAGTGAGAATATGGAGAAACGGGCCCAGCCGGGGCCCCGTTTTCTCAGGCCTTTGCACCCGCCCCGCCCCGATAATTTTGTGAACCCGCCCCGGCTCGCCCCATTTTGTCTTTATAAATTTAAGACCCGCCCCGTACCCACCCCGAACCGCATAGAACCGGCTCACCCCGTGGGCCTAGGGCCCGTTTGCCCACCCCTAGTTGGCATGGATAGTGTGTTGCCTACTCCCTTGCCTACTAGAACTCCTTGTTGCTGACATGTCCACAATGAAGTGTGGCTAATCCCTTTCGCTAAACATATCCAAAATATCCTTTTTGTCCACCTATCATCCTTGTCTTCTTCTGATTTTTCGCCACGTGGCTCCCTCGTTGGCTTTCATCTCCAGCTATTTTCCCTTCCTATGTTTCCCTCCCCTAGAAAATCTAAAAAACCCTAAAGAATTTCAGAGCAAAAAAAAAAAAAAAAAAAAAAAAAAAAAAAAAAAAAAAAAAAACTTGAAACCTGATCCTTTTTTAATTTTTGAGTATTGCATAAAAATGTGGAGGTTTCTGAAGCGGGATTGAAAGAGGAGGTGGTTGAGAGTGCATTTCTGAATCTGCAGACGAAGTGGGAAATGTAGGCGTTGAGAAGGCAGGAAGCAAGAAGAGAAAAAAGGCAAGACAAAATGATTCTTAAGTGGAAGACCAATCGAGAGAACAAAGATTAATGTGAATGTGAATATGAATTTGAGCAACAAATTGAGCTGTGCTACTGGTTCAACAACTGGGTTAGTACCCATTAGGGATGGGCAAAATACTCACGGGTTTGGGTAACCGTGGTTACCCGCCTATTTAAAATTCACGGTTACGGTTATGGGTAACCGTTTAGACGAACAAACGGTTATGGGTATAATCGTTTATCTGTGAAATTTAAATGGGCAGTTATAGGTATTACCCGCAGTTATAACTGTATCCATCGGTTATAGGTATAACCTATGGTTTTAACGGTTATCCATTTATCCATTTAATTTAATATATGTAAAATTAAAAAAAAATTTAAAACCCGTCTCAGAGGAAATGGATATGGGTTTAAAAATAAAAGAAGAAATGGATATGGGTTTTTGAACCTGTCTCAGACGGCATTTGTAAAACTTTCGACCTGGATTCTTTCTAGTGAGGACCGGCAGGCTCCATACCCACAACTTGTTTGTAAACTATTAAAAAAAAAGTTTAACGACTTGCTTTGGTGTAGCAGAAAAATATCGTTAGTAAACTATTATTTTAATTATTAAAATTGTATGAGGATTTAAATTATTAAAATATGGAAATGCATGCTAAAATGCACCTATAACGGTGTTTAATTCTCAGAAAACGAAAATTATGACAAAATTTTCTTTTGTAATTTTCAAGTTGTTAAAAAAAATGTAGACGGGTGAAAAAATAGGTAAACAGGTAAAAAAAGGATAAACGGGTTCAAAAACGGGTAAATGGTTATGGTTAAATGGGTAAACGGTTATGATTAAATGAGTACACGGTTATGAGTATAGTTAATCATTTATAAACTGTTATGGGTATGAGTATAACCATTTATATAATTACCTAACGGGTAAACGGTTATACGGGTATGAATATAAATGGTTATGAGTAAATAACCGCGGTTACCCGCCCGCCATAACCGTTGCCTATCCCTAGTACTCATACCCGCCGCTCCAGTTTGTTCCATACGGTATCGTTTGGTATGCAAACGGGACGGGATGGGACATGACTGGATGGAACGGAGAGAGAGTAAAGATGCTCTCAGATGGAAACAAGGAGGAATATGAAGGAGACGAAGATGTTATAATTTTATGTTCCATGAATGTGGAACGAGTCGTTCCAGGGGATGAGGCGGAACGAAAATTCACCCAAAATTCATCCTATGGAACAGCGCATTCCACCCGTTTTAGGCGCACCAAACGTGGGACGGAACGCCTCGTCTCACTTCATTATGTCCTGTCCCATGTACCAAACGGTACCTACATGAATGGGTCATCGTATCTCCACGCTATTTTTAAACTAGGTAGCGCTTCTTCGTTTGTCCTTCGCTCAAATTCAAAGTCACATTCACATTCGTCTTCGTTCTCTCTTTCTTCATCGTCGGCTACTCCTCCACCTGGGAATCATTTCGCCACAAGCTTTTCTTCTCCTCCCACTTTCTCTTCGCTTCATACCTTCTTAATGCTTCCATCTCCCATTTCATTTGTGGACACGAGGGATATTTTGGATATATTTAGCGTATGGGATTAGCCATACTCTACCGTGGAT